CGCCACATCCTCCCCTGCAACCGCGTCGTTTCGTGGGAAGGGGGTGGCGATTTTGCGACTGCAGAGGTGGTTGCGTGTTCTGGAATATGGCTGGTCCCTCGCTGAGTAAAGAGCCGTCAGGCGGTGCAGGGAGCACCCCGGGAGAGGCCGGCGAGAGCGCAGATCCCCTCCGAGATCGGGCCCCGGCTCAGCAGCAGGCAGCGTCTCCAGAGGGACTCGAAAGGCTGCGCAGGGACTGCCAGCAGCCAGGCAGCCCTTAAAGCGAATCAGAACAGCACAAACTATTTACATTAAATTCACATGCCCACATAAAAGAGGACTTATTTTCCACAATATTTAAAAGAGGTTTTTATTAGAATCTGTTGTCTAAGCAGGCAGGCAAAAAGAAAGCCCAAAGATGTTGTGAGCTCCCTGGTTTTTGTGAAAGCTGGCAGGGGGGTGTGCAGCAGCTGATGAGCTTGCTGAGCGGGAAGGGAGGTTCAGGCTGTGAAGCTCGATGTGTAAATTAGCTTCTTGCAGCACTTGTCTCTGTGCCTGTCACTGTCATCAGTGGCCCTGTCTGTTACAGTCCTCCCAGTTCATTTGGCTAAACATTAGTGACATGCGAGGGACAGCAGCCAAAAAACCCGTTGCCTGTGAGCGTGCTGGCTGTTAACTGTTGAACGAGAGGTCTATCAAACCCAACAGCCATCCAGCAGGAGCGCTGGCTGGTCTTTTCCTGCTACGGGCAAGTTATTTTTAGTTACGGCGGCTGAATTATTTTTCATTAGCAGGACCTGGGGAGGAAGCAGGCGGAGGATCCATTGCTTAGTGACCGGCCCAGGGAGCCTGGCTCGGCGCCTGGACCACGCTGCGGCGTCCCTCCTGCCGCCGCCTCCTCGGCAGAGCACGCACCGGCAGTAACGACCAGTCTTGCACCCGGGGTTTGAAGGCACAGCTTTTTAGCTGTTGTTCTCTCCTGTCAGACGATGTTTTCGTGCCAACTCAGGTGATGACCGTGAATATCGAACAGCTGATGGTGGGCTCCCAGAGGCACCGTCTCCTGGAGGAGTTTCGGAGGAGTTGACATCCCACCGAAACATCCAAGGGGGTCTGCAACACTCCGAGGCAGCTGTCCTGAACACTGCTCTCTTGAGTACCTTTGCACCACTCAAACCGAGTAAGACCTTAATTTTCATTACTGAGGAGTGTCCACACCAGGAACTAGAGAGCCCTCACGCAGAAAGAACATGGAATTTATGATACATAATGAAACCTTATGCTTGCCATGTGAGAAACATCTTTTTGAGCCTTATTTCGTATTTCTTGTTAGTATCTTACCAAGAACCCAATGTGGAAAGCCAGTATCTGAATAAATGAATTAACACAACTGAGCAGGGTACACAGACTTTGCAAGAAAGAGCAGCAAAGAGAAAAACAATGATATTCATTAATGAAAAACCTCGAAGAACATCTGAGAAGCAGAGAATGCAGAGAACCCCTCCCCAGCCGGGTAGCTGTGATGCCTGTCTGGCCGCGGAGCCGCATCGCTGGCACAGACACGGCTGGAGGTGCCGGGGTCCTGCCCAGGGCCGGCTGCTGGCGAGCGGATCCTCCCCGCTATTGATGCGCAGACCCAACTTTCGTAACCATCTCTGGTGTTTACTTGGCAAATCCTTTCCAAAGCACTCTGCAAATGCTAACTGATGAATTCAGGGCACCTGATTTGCCCAAGGCTTCCCAGCCTTCCAAAGCCCTTGATTCCTTTGAGCAGCATTGATTTTTAAAGCGTTTCACGCAACGCAAGAAATCTCTCCCAGCACAGAACGTCCCACAGAGACCACATCGTTCCCGCTGCTCCGGGAATCCGATTACATGGGCTGAGGCAACTTAGCCTTGCCGTTAAACAGCAAAACAAGGGCTTGCAGAAGCCTTTTCCTGACTTCATTTAGCAGCTGCTTCAGCTGCAGGCACGCAAACAAGTGTCCTCTGCCCAGCGCTTTCTCCCTTTTCGTATCGCTTTGCTACGGGGATTCTGGGTTAATTCGCACCAAACTGAG